GTTATGTAGCTGTATTCCTATTATGTTAATGTGTGCACGCAATTTAATTAGTAATTTAAAACCTATACACACTTATGTTACACTACAAGAAGATATGTCAAAGAAATAATCGATCTTCCCATGTTTTCTTCCGTCTGCTACTTCTATAGCTTCTGTTCTTCCTTCATAATTACAACCCCTAAGTAGAATTTGTGCCTCATATCGAAATTACCGAGTATCATAATTCCTCCAAGTGGTAAAGATACCTCAAGACAAATGCTGGGCATAGAAGCCACAGCGCATAAATCTGCAAAAAAGTAAAAAGCTAACCTTTTCAAACAATATTGCTTCTCTCTCACTTGCCAACTTTACATTTCCCTGTATGGCCCCGGAAGATGACTGGTTAGCCAGAGATGGGTAAGATTCCTCAAGGGAGGAACAACCTAAGACAGGCACAGTCACAGGGGGGCCATCAGGTGAGAAACTGGGGATCAACAGAGGCGAGGCTTAGAACCTCACCCCCCTGTTTTGAGAGAAATCTTCTGCATCCATGGATGTTTTGTTGCCCTTGTCTAGCTTGGATTAATACTTCGTCTATAGGCACACACCTGATCATCTACATTTTCCCTCTTACAGCACTAAACTATGTTTTCTACCTTTTCTTGCATCTACCTACCACTTCAGCATTTTATTAAAAAAATAATAATAATAATAAGGGAGAAATGTGGGATTCTCATATAAATCAAGTATAAAAATCAAACAAAAAATCATAATTGACCTGATTGTTTATAGTCCATGATGCATGATCAAAACCAAAAGTTTCTGTGATGACTGCCCTTGCACTGTTCACCATGTAAGAACCTATTCACTATGTAAGAACTTGTTCACCATGTAAAAACTTGTTCGTTATGCTTCAGAAGATTGGAGACTGTTGAGAATTAGGCTTGGGGTTGATTAATTATTGTGCATTGAGTCCCCTATACAGAATTTTATTGTTGTTAACCATATGATCAATAAATATGAGAGATGCCCTCTCAACAAAAAAAATAAAACCCGACCATATCTTCTGCTTTCCCTCAGATAACTGCTGCTAATAGTTTGAAATCTGTTTTTCAATAAATTTTTCTAAACATAAAAAAGAAAACAAAATAAAACTTAAAATAGAATTACCTTTTGACCCAGAAATTCCACTCCTAGGAATTTACCCTAAGAATGCAGTTTCCCAGTCTCAAAAAGACATATGCATCCCTCTGTTTATTGCAGCACTATTTAAAATAGCCAAGAAATGGAAGCAACCTAAATGTCCATCAGTAGATGAATGGATAAAGAAGATGTGGTACATATACACAGTGGAGTATTATTCATCCATAAGAAGAAAACAAATCCTACCTTTTGCAACAAAATGAATGGAGCTAGAGGGTATTATGCTCAGTGATATAAGCCAGGCAGAGAAGACAAGGATCAAATGATTTCACTCATCTGTGGAGCCTAAGAACAAAGAAAATCTGAAGGAACAAAACAGCAGCAGATTCACAGAACCCAAGAATGGACCAAGAGTTGCCAAAGGGAAAGGGAATAGGGAGGGTGTGTGGGAAGGAAAGTAGAAGGGGAATAAGGGGCATTACGATTAGCACACATAATGTAGCGGGGCACGGGGAAGGCAGTAGAGCACAGAGAAGACAAGTAGTGACTCTGTAGCATCTTACTATGCTGATGGAAGTGACTGTAATGGGGTATTTGGCGGGTACTTGATAATGGGGGAATCTGGTAACCATGATATTGCTCATGTAATCGTATATTAATGATACATATATACATAAATACAAGTAAATAAATAACCAAAACCAAAAAAAAAACATTGAAATAGGAAGAAAAACTACAATTACAGTGTCTGGGGAGCCCAGTGAAGAAAATGGATCAAGGGGAAGAAGTGATCAATTGTGTCAAGTGCTGCTAAATATGTCGAGTGAGACAGCGCCTGTGAGTTACCCATCACCATCACTGGCTGTGATGAGCACTCCTAGGTTAGTGGTCATGGTGAAATCCTGATTGGAACAGGAGTAAGTGGGATGGAAGTCTTATCAAACACAGTGGCAGCTCTGGTATGTTTATCTTTCTCATCAAGGAGAATCCAGTCTCTTCACTGTAACCACTTTGAAAGGATCTGGAGTTGGCTTTGATTTGAGGGTCACCTATTTCCTATACAGAGGAAAACTGTGCCAAAAATCCAAACATCAGCACTAGTCAAACTATGTTATGTTTATTGCCACAGAATAATTGGTGATGCCTCAAGGAACTCCACCTGCACATAGTTTTTAAAACATTTTTTTGAGATATAGGTCACTTACACAGTCACCCAGCGAACATGTCGGTCCCTCCCTGCTTCTGACCCGCACATGAGGGAGGAGACACTATGAGACATCAAAGACCTGAAAGGGCCAGCCAGGGGACTCAAGGCATAACAGCACAAGAGTAACGCCGAAAAGGCACTCCTCATATCTATTGAGCAAATGAACCCAAACATCCAAAGAATTTTGAGTAGGGGGTTCAAAATACGATCAACACACAATCATTATCTGACCTTGAGTCAAGCCCTAGGGCGTGATGCTCCTCAAGGACACCGAAACCAAGTGAGGGCGGTCATGAGCTGTAGGAACTGTTTTGTCTTTACTCATTTTCTTACTGATCATGCATCAGGAGTTGTAGGAGAAACAATCAGGTCATATGCATTTGTACGTTTGATTTCTATATTACTTGATTTATGTATTAATCCCATTAATCCCACATAACAGGTGGCAGAACTAGCGTTCAGATCGAGGCAGCCTAATTCCAAAGATAGAGCTCTTAACTGCTCTGTTACATACTTCTTGTACATCTGTTTTCACCTCCTGCCTAGTCACACTTCAACTCAGTCTGCTACAATTTAGCTTCCATCCCAGTTCATTCCCTGGAAACTGCTTTGTTTGCATTATCAACAAGTCTGTCGCTAAATTGAATGGATTGGTTTTGGTCCATACCATTCTTTCTGCAGCTTTTGATATTGTTCATACATTCAAAAGATATTAAGCACCTACAGTGTGTACTCTGTTTTACAACGGTGAACAAATATGGGCAAAACTGCTCTAACTGAAGAATTTGTGTCTTTACTTGTTACAATTAGGGGGTCAGAAATCTTCCATCACTGTTGACTTGTTTGTGGATGGTGACTAGGCCACCTTGTTTGTCCCATGCTTTTGTTATTCTGTGGCTAAAACAGATCATATTGTTATTTTGTTTGCAGGGTTTCACAACATAAGTTCAAATAACTATATTTAGATACCATTTTCACTGTTCCCCAGATAGAAATCTGAACCTTTCCAAGCAGTTGTCATAAATGAGTAAATGAAGAGAGCCAAATCCTCAAGTATACTACCCCTTCTTATCTAATTATTAATAATAAATTGTGAAAATTCATTGCCTTTGAACTTTTACCTATTTTTTTCTTTATAAGGATAATTTGGATTAATTTTATGTCCCTTATTGGAAATACCAGAATATTAAATAAGTTTCATTCCATATGCCCAAATAAAAAGCTACTCCAAGGAAAACACTTGATTTCATGGAGCCCTGATGGTAAATTTTTACATATCACCACAACTGAGTATTTCAGCCCAAGCTGAAGGAAAGGAGTCAGCTTGTCTCTTTGCACATGTCCATGATTACTTTCTGTGTTTTCATTCCTTTATCCAGTTAAGTAAAGAAGAAAAAAATTCTCTCCTACTTCTTCATGCCAAACACAGCTCTTGTTTTATTAGTTCTAATGAGAATGTGTTTTTCTTGATGATTGGAAGCAACTATAATCCTCTTGCTTCCATCCAGGGTTACTGTTTTTGTCTGAGAGCTGTTTGTTTACAGCAGCAGTTAGCAATTTGTATATAGACAGTGCTGTCCTCAATGAAACCCAAATGCCTCTTGGAAGAAAGATGACAGATTCAGCCCAGCAATGTGCAAAACTTTAAAAATTATTCCTTGTCAAACATGTGAAAAACAACTCTTCCCTCTCCATGACTTGAGGAAAAAAATAAGAAACTATCTTATACCAGATGGCAATTCTTTGCTAGTAAAACAGGGCTGTGCTGATCCAGCTCCATTACTTTATGTTCCCTTTGCAAAACCCACAAAGACACATTTGGGGCCACTTTTCAGAGTTGGCAACAGTCACTGCTTTTTAAGGAAATCATATGGACACACACACAAAAAAAGCCACAATGGATGAAGGGCTTAGAATCCTCAGGGTCCAGAAAGGGATATATATAATACATAGGCCTCAAACAGTAGGTCATCCGTGAGAACCTGGCCTGGACCCAAGAATCTTCCCAGTTGTTGCCAGGTTTGGTTACTTTATCAAATTTGGTCAAAACAAAAACAAATTGAGAAAAGGTTATATTTTCTTATTGACTAGGCCTCTTCTGAAGAAAAAAGGGAGGAAGAAGACACCGAAACTATAGAAACACCCTTTGAAATGATAAAGTAATTCCTAAATTTCAAATTACTCTAGGTCCAAAGGATTCAATCTTTAATTTTAAGTCCGATATCATTCTCTACCATTTACATGTAAGGTATTATAGCTGCTTTCATACATTTAGAAGTTATTTAGAGAATATTTGTGTGTGTTCTGTGTGTATGTATGTGTGTGTGCATATGTCTTTCTAACTACTTGGCTTTTTAAAAATGCCTCAGGACATAATGAAATCCTCTCACTGAAGATGTTGAAGCAGTCTCTGGCCAGCCACTTGCTAGGGATGTTGCGAAAAGGATTTAAACACTATATTAGTAATTGTGTCAGTTAGTTTTGAAGATATCTTCTTCATTTAAAGTTCTATACATCATGAATCAGCCCCATCCGGCTGTTATTTCTTTTTAACCACCTCGATTTCGGGTCTTTTCAGCCATTTAAGGTAATATCTATTATCTGTTTAATTTTACACTATGTGTAAGAAAATATTGACCACCTTTGTTCGTGTTCTATTTTATTTCTTTAGGTGTCTGAACACATACAATTAAGTTGGATCCTTACCTGCATGGTCAGTCTACCCCGATTACAACATCTGCACCAGTGGAAGGTAAATGCCAGTGATTTGACTAATAAACAGAAAGGATATTGAAGTCCCCATTACAGCTGCCTTGTCCCACTCTCTGTTTATTTTTGCATCGGTCTCTGGGAACCCTGAACTTACTGGACTCCTGGGCTGCTACTCACTAGTGGCTATAACAGCATCTTTAAATCTCTGCCTCAGGGTATTAAGTGGAAAGTGAAAGGGTTCGCTGAGATTCCTTCCAACTTAAAAACTGCATCGAAATATCCAACTTATTAATTACTTGATTTTATCTGTGTATGGTTGAATCAGAGTGATCTTTGGTTAGAATTTGGTAGTGACTCTGAACCTACCACGTTATAATTAACAATCACAATTTCTGGATTACTGGACTCTGAAGCTACCTCCTATCTCCACTGGACTTAACTGGCAGTAAGGCACAATTGTTTACATTGTGGGGAGAAGAGACAACATATTTTATTTAGCATTTAAACAAGTTGAGACCAGGCAACAGTTCAAACCCACAGAAAAATTAAGGCTATACTTTTTCAAAAAGTTCAACTGAGAAAGTAAATTAGATAATTCACAGTACTTTATTTCCATTTATTTTTGCAATTGGTTAACACAAGGATAGGTAGCCCCCAACTACATCAGCATTAATTTAATTTTCAAGCTTCTTTCTTACATATTTTTAGAGCCACTGGTTTCCTCAAAAACTGGTTGAGAAGCCTTCAGAAAGAAACAGACAGAGCTTTAAAGTGGCAGTACTTGAATAACTGGTATTTGTAATGCTACAAAATCATTACCTGCTAGGAATTAGAAACAAAATTTTGCCAAACTCTCTACTATATTTTGGTATTAAGCAAGACTTTCCCAATTTATCCTAATACTCTAACACTAAGTTGAATGCTGAAATCCTTTTTATAAGAACTGATTATTAATTTAATGAGAAATGTTCCCGTTCTAAAACAGTGTATAAGGCCCTACTAATAACACATTACTAGGGAATGCACTGTAGGTTTCCCTGCCCTCCACAAGCAGAGCATTCCTACAAAACCTTTGGTAAACCAAAATGGCATAAAGTGAAAATGCAACTACCATCTCATAAAAGCAAAAGTCCTCTTCAGATTTCTTTGGTTAGCAAAAACAGATATTAATGTAGGTCTTTATCATAAAAGCAAAGTGGCATAAGGTGAACTTTTGGATAGAGTAGAAACCTGTATTCTGGAGAAGCCTTACCACTAGTATGTGATATTTTATTTGTGGGTGAAACATAGATTTTAAATGCCAGCTCTATTCTAGAGCATGTCGCTGACTTCTCTTCCCTTCATTAACAAATACTGATGATGCCTTCTGTGAGTCTCACAGCACACTAGGTACTGGAGGTACAGCAGTCAGCAAGATGGACAGGTACAGCTTCTTCCACAAGGCATGCAGTCTGTTTGGGAAGAGACAATTAAACAAGCAATCAGAAAGTGTGTGAAGTGTTCAGAGGCAAGGGTATTAATGCTATGGGAGGATCTGAAGGCACCTCGCTTGATTTTGATTGGGGTAGAGGACTGAGTTCAGGGTTATTTGGGGGATTAATGAGATGACACAGTTGTAAGGCATCTGGGGCACATATAGGCACTCAATAAATACTAGTGCTCTCCACCTCTCCCCTGTCCTTTGTAATTTCAAGATCCAGTATTCTAGTATAAAAAGACTATAAATCTAATGCAACAGCGATTTTTAAAAATGGGTTTCTTTTCCCATTTGCTCATTTCCAAATTAAACTTTCTTGATCGTTACCTAGCGATCATTGTGAACTGGCCTTTATCATGGATCTTGTAATAAGAAGTACTGAGGAATTTTATGTTCAAACTTTCAAATTTCCTTTGAACAGCTTATAGCATTAGTTGCTGTGAGCCAGAAACTGCTTGAAGTAACCAGAAAAGTTAAGTATGAAACTAAATTATGGAGCACTGACTTTAAGATCGTTAAAGAGGGAAGTTGTTGCTTTTTGGACCCAGACTCAAAGGGTATGTCTGCCTGTTGCTAGGGGAAGCCTGAATTGTGGGTGATGTGAGCATGGTCCTCAGAATCATGCAGGTTTATGAATAAAGTTGTTCAGTTCATTCAGAAGTAATTGGACCTCAGGGAAGTGATTCATGTAACTAAGTGAATAATATCTACATACCAAAATATCCATTTATCACTTTACAAAAGATGATATATCTAAACCTTGGAAACAATTACCAGTAAACTGCACACAATATTTAATTATGCTCAGAAAATTGAATTACCTCTCAGGGAATGTTCAGCTGCAGCAAATTAGTTAGTACCACTAAGGTTACTATTCAGTAGGTACATACCAGTAGTTTATAGCTGACACCCATTGTTCCTTGGTTATTAAATACTTCTAATGTTAGAGGCTTTAATATCACCTCTATTTCCATCAAATTCCCTTATCTTTAAGAAAATATTTTGGTCTATATAGACTGTCCTGTTCATTGGGATTGCTTTACCCTTTCTGCTTCAGTACCTAAACCTCAAGACAGATTTAGAATTGGTTAGATTAAAATTCCTCTAGGTTTTATTTTTTAAATGCTATGACTTTTTGTTTTTTGGTGTTTAAAATATGATTTTAAGGGAACATCACAGCTTTGTCAATAGCACAGTGTGAGACTTTCTGGTAGGTTTCCACAGATATGTAGGGCATTTGATCTTAACTCATGTTAATTTATAGAAATTTAATTTTGTGATATTTTCTTATCTTACTTGTTTTTATGTAACTGATTTGGAACCAGGAAAACTCTTACACCCTTACTTTAATTAAATGAATAAGAAATAGTGGCAGTGCAGGATCCCTTAGAGGGGCAATGATGAAGTGGATTTACCTTATTCTGGCCTAATCCTGCAGCATAAAGATAAGCCATCCAGAAGATGGCTAGAGCTTCTAAAAGGAGCAGAGATGTTTTATCACAGGTGGCTTCAGATTCCTTTACTTGCTTTAAAGATTTCTTAACTTTGGGTGGGTAAAATGGGTCAAGGGGATAAAGAGGCACAAAACTTACGGGGATGAAATACAGCATAGAGAATATAGTCAATAATATTGTAATATCTTTCTATGTTGACAGTATTGTTATTTCTACATTGACAGATCACTTATTAGGGTGTACATTTAATAATGTAGGTAATTGTCAAATCACTGCATTGTACACCTAAAACCAGTACAATACTGTATATCAACTATACTTTAATTTTTTAAAAAGTTTTCTTAACTTAGCAGTATAATTAAGGTTCATGTAAAATTTCTTTGCCTCTTCTCTTCTCACCCCATAGGCAAAGGCTGCCACACAGGAGCACAAAAGAATCGTGGGCCTGCTCACATACCCAGTACTCCAGGCAGCTGACATTCTGTTGTACAAGTAAGGAGCAGAGTTCACCCCTGGTTCTATACATATTCATACTGACAACAGTGTTTTAACCTATCCCAAAAAGATGTGGTTCATGGGGAAGTGGGATTTAAAAAGGTTCAGACAGGTGGATCAGTTTGCATTTCTTCCCCAGTAATAGCTATTAAATTATAAAAGTATGTTTCAATGGGAAACTAGTAATTATTAAGAACTAACACTAAAGTAGCACTTATTATTCCTCCTAACAGTAAATGCTTATTAAGTGCTTCTACTTAATATGTGGAATAATAAGTGCTATTAAAAAGTTAATAAGTGCTAATTAGAAACCATTATAAGTACTTAACAGAAATTAAGTTATTTAACCCTCACACCAACGTTATGAAAATTGCACTATTATAATCCTCATTTTACAGATGAGGAAACTAAGGCACAGAGTAGTTAGCAACTTGCCCAAAGTCACGTAGCTAGAAAAGCTTGGACCCAGGATTTGAGTCTAGAAAGTTTGAGAATGGGTTTTTGCCCTTAACCACTATGCAATGTATACTCTGCCAATAATACACTTTAAGAGTTTTAAAGGTTGATTTCTCATATAATCTAGATTCTGGGCTGATGCTGTTCAATAGAATTTGCCTACAATTATGGAAATGTGCATGTGCTTTCCACCACCATAGCCACTAGCCATGTGTGGCTATTGGGCACTTGAAATTGACAGAGGAGCTAGATTTTAAATTTTACTGAATTTTAATTAATTTAAATTTAAATAGCCACTTGTGTCTAGTGGCTACTGTATTGTACCTGCAGGTGGAGCGCAAGTTTTTCAACATGATACAGGGTGCCTTTTTACTGGACCCACAGTACATTTAGTCAGCTACTGCTGCCACTTACAGGTTTCAGAACTATACGACCAGAAGATGCTGACACCTGTACTCTTTGTACTGCTGGCCAGGATTTCTGACCCCACTCCTTTCCCAATTCTTCCCTGCTATCCCCACATCACCCACCTGGGCCCTCTATTTGGTCTTCTAGGGATAAAACCTTCCAATCAGCATGTGCTTAGAGCCAAGACTTGCTACTGTGAAAGCTTCTAAAGAAAAAGAGAAATTCCATCAGTCTTTTCCACCTCTTTTACCCCCTAAATCCTTGACCCATAAAAGTGATTCTCTCCTGGGAAAACTAAGATTCTTTGCGTGTAAACATGATTATAACATGGAAATGACAATATATGTACCTTATGGTATGACCCTGGAGCCCTTGTGCAATTATGATGGAAACAGCCAGAAGAATATCTGCTTAGCTTTTCAACTAAAGAATTCCCTTTACTAGATGTGGACTACCATCCATTCTGCTTTAAACTTATAGGAAAGTCTTACCCAGTCCATCAGAGGATTCAGTCCAGTTTCTAAGTCAGACCCAGTCTGATCCTAGACCCAGTCAAACTCTGGCCAGTTTCGTACCCAGTCTGGTGAAAGAAATGCTCAAATAAAGTCTGAAAGCTCACACTGCAGAAGATGTGGAGCTAGGATCCAGGATCTGAGAGGGACTTATCTAGAACCTCCAGAGGCAGCAAGAGAGGAGCTGGGAGCTTGGACTTACTACACTGCAGCACAGGAAAAAAGCCTGGCAGTTTAAAGTGCAACTAGACCATAAGTGAAAGAAGCCACGTTTCAGAACTACATATCCACTGCTTGGCAAGGAAACCAGTTGGAGGCAATCTGGGATTGGAGGAGCTTGCCAGAGCCATTGTTTGCACCACTGTACATCTTAGTATGGCCGAGAACAAGATCTGGGTGTGTGCACCAATCTCAGACTTTGATCTTGGCAGCCCCCTGACCTCTGCTCATACCCAGACACACCTGCAGGCAATTCAGAAGTCCCACCTTACTGCTTGCTGTTATCCACCAGTCCAGCCCCAATTAGTAGAACCTGAAAGTTCCCCGGCTCACGGGAGTGTGAGCCATGCACCTAGGGGGTCTGATCTTGGCCACCAGCAATATCAGTGGCACCAGTGCAGGAACTCCCAGGAGCAGTCCAGAACACTCAGGGGCCAAGGGGGAACATGTACAGAGCCTGACTCCACATTGTCAGTGGGATCCTGGAGCTGTCCTGAGTGGCCAAGAGTATGCATGGGCATATAGGTGAGGAGGGACAGGGGACTTAGCAGGCACCAATCAGGGAGTTACCTGGAGTGTACCCTCAACCCGCTGCTGGCTCACCATCCTCCCCTCACCAGTGCAGAACCCACAGGTGTCCACCCAGGAGCCCCACCAATGGGCCCCCAGGGTCATGCCCCCAGGGACAAGGCCTGGAAGCCCCAGCACCAGGAAAAGCCTTCTTCACACTTACTCAGCCACTACATGCCAAAACCATGAGGCACATGCAGTCTACACAATGGACTCTGCCACACAAGGCCAATCTTTCAAGACTAGAACAGCAAACCATTTCAACTGAACCATAGAACTCATCACAGAAATTCATACAAAATGTGGAGACAGAGGAATATGCTCCAAATGACAGAACAAAAAAAATACAGGAGGAAAACTAAGTGAAACAGTTAACCAATCTACCTAATAAAGAGTTTAAAAGCAATGGTTATAAAGATACTCACTGAACATGAGAAAACAATAGCAGAACTCAAGGTAGATCTCAACCAAGTGTCTAAAAAAGAACCAATTAGAGATGAAGAACTCAATAGATGAAATAAAAAATACACTGGAGGGGGTTAACAGCAGACTCAAAGAGGCAGAAGAATGGATCAGTGACTTGGAAGATAGTAATGGAAATCACTGAAACTGAAGAGCATAAGGAAGAAAGAATTAAATGATAATAGGGTAAGAGAGTTCTGAGACAACATCAAATGTCCTAACATCCACATTATAGGAGTCCCAGAAGGAGAAGAGAGAGAGATAGGTGTGTAAAATCTATTTGAAGAGATAATAACTGAAAGCTTCCCCAAGTCCAGGAAGCACAGGGAGCTCCAAACAAGATGAACCCAAGGAAATCCACTCCAAGACACATTGTAATCAAAAGCTCAAAGATCAAAGACAAAGAGGATCTTAAAAGCACCAAGAGATAAGCAACTAATTACATATAAGGGAAACGCCATAAGATGACCAGCTGATTTTTCTGCAGAAACTACAGGACAGAAGGGAATGGCGTGATATATCAAAGTGCTGAATGGAAAAAAAAAACACCTACCAAGAATACTCTACCAAGCAAGGTTATCATTCAGAGTTGAAGGAGAGAAAGAGCTTCATGAATACAAATGAGTTAAAAGAGTTCACCACTACTAAACCAGTCTTACAAGCATGTTAAAGGAACTTCTTTAAGAGGAAAAAAACCCAAAGAGAAGCAAGAAATTTAAGAAAGGGAAAAATTTCCACTGGTAAAGCAAAGATATTAGAGGTAGTAGATCAATTACTTAAAAACTAGTATGAAGGCCAAAAAGAAAAAAGTAGCAAAAGCAATTATATATAAAAATTAGTTAATGGAATCACTTAATAAAAATGTATACAAGAAGATATTATATACATAAAATATGGAGAAGGGGGAGTAAAATATGTGCTATTAGAATGTGTTCAAACTTAAATGACCATCAACTTATTATAGATTGTTACATTCATAAGATACCATATAAGAACCCCATGGTAACCACAAACCAAAAACTTTTAGTAGATAAACAAAATAGAGAAGAAAACCCACTAATAACACTGAAGAAAGTCACAAAACATAAAAGAAAAGAGCAAGAGAGGAAGAAAGAATCAGAAGAAAAATGACCAGGAAACATTTAACAAAATGCAGTAAGTACATACATATTAATCATTATTTAAATGCAAATGGCCTAAATGCTCCAATAAAAAGACATAAGGTAGATGAATGGATTAAAATAAACAAGACCCATCTATTTGCTGCCTACAAGAGACTCACTTCAGACATAAAGATATACACAGACTGAAACTGAAGTGGTGGAAAATATGTACCATGTAAATAGGGATGAAAAATCTGCAGTTGCAATACTTATTTAAAACAAAGTAGACTTCAAAACAAAGAAAGTACCAAGAGACAAACAAAAACAAGACAAATAAATGGATCAGTCCAACAGGAGAATATAACAATAATAAATAACTATGCACCCAACATAGGAGCACATAGATATGCAAACCAAATATTACAGATCTAAAGGGAGAAATTGACAGCAACACAATAATGGTAGTTGCTTATATCAATGGATAGATCATCCAGATATAAAATAAAAAAGGGAACACAGTCATTGAATGACACATTAGATGATATTGACTTAACAGATTATGCAGAATATTCTACCCAACAGCAACAGAATACCTGTTTTTCTCAAGTTCACATGGAGCATTCTCAAAAATAGATCACATATTTGGACACAAAACAAGTCTCAACAAATTTGAAGAGATTTAAATTGTGTCAAGCATCTTCTCAGACCATAATGATATGAAACTAGAAATCATTTCCAAGAAGAAAAACTGGGAAAAACACAAACATGTGGAGGCCAAACAACAGATAAATAATCAATGGATCAAAGAACAGATCAAAGAGGAAATCGAGCAGTACATGGAGACATATGAAAACAGAAATACAACAGTTCAAAATATGTGAGATGCAGCAAAAACAGTTCTAAGAGGGAAGTACATAGCAATAGAGGCCAACCTCAAGAAACAAAAACAATCTCATATAAACAATCTAACCCTACAATTAAAGGAACTAGACAAAGAAGAACAAATAAAGCCCAAAGTTAGTATGAGGAGGGACATAATAAAGATCAGAGCAGAAATAAATAAGACTAAGAAAACAACAGAAAAAAAACAATGAACAAGAGCTGGTTCTTCAAGAAGATAAACAAAATAGAAAACCATTAGCCAGATTTATCAAGAAAAGAGGGAGGAGACAAATAAACAAAAATCAGAAAGGTGAAGTTACAGCTGCCACCACAGAAATACTAAAAGGTTTTAAGAGAATTCCATGAAAAATTATGTGCCAGTAAA